ATGTGAAGAATGTGAACTATGTGCTAAAATGCCTAGATTTCAAGTCAAGTTTAAATTGTGATTATTATGCCGAATCATGTGAATTCCTCTCTATGCTTACAACTTGAATTGCTCTTGTATGTGCCCATTATCTTAAATTGCAAGGTTAATGTTGAAAGTGAAAGTGATGTGAAATGTGAGATATGAAATGTGGCCGAGTGCCAAGTATGATGTGATAAATGTGGCCCAAAGTGCCGACGAACTGATATATGCGAAATAAAGATTAAAACGAGATGATTGATGAAAAAAGGAAAAACATCTTGGTAAGACGTCCTAGTAGATCGGGCCGTGATCGGATGCCATGCCGCACACGTGATGGAATTGTGCTGATATTGAAACCAGAAAGTGAGAATGAAATTGTGACTGAGGTACATGTCTCAAATGAGGCAACCTAGCCGATCGGGTCGTGATCGGACTCCGTGCAAGAAAGTGGTGGTATTGTGAATGATGATGTAACAGTATTAAATGTCCCAACCTAAAGCTATGGAAATTGTGTGAAAGCTATGTGATCCCTTATTTGATGATGTGGTGATTGTTTAAAGCTTTGTTGATCCTTATGATTTCTTTATTCTTGTATGGTTGTTCTTTCTAATGAGATGGTGTTTAGTTATACATACTAGTACTATTCCACGGTACTAACGTCCCTTTTGCCGGAGGCGCTACATCTTTAAATGGATGTAGGTGGTTCCATAGCAGGCAGTGCTGGTCCCAGCTAGTGACACATCTTCCTTTCAGCTGACTTGGTGAGCCCCACTTCATTTCGGGGTCCTGTATCACTGTTTGTCATGTACTTTATATTTTGAGGTATAGTCGGAGCCTTGTTGCCGACATTTCCATATTACTCTTCAGTTGTATTTAGAGGCTCCGTAGACAGGTTGTGGGTAGTGTTTGATGTCGGGAATTGTATTGGTAATATTGGTATTTGGCAAACATGTTTTTCAATAAATCTATAAACTTGTACATTTTTGGAAATATTGAATGATGTTGTTAATGGGAATGAAATGGAAGTGAATAATGAAATCTTTTCAGTATTTGATTAATGGAGTACATCTTCTCTTTATTTAGGGATGAAATTGGGTAGAATGAAATCTAACAGGCTTGCTTAGTCGGGTTCACTCGGTTGAGCGCCGGTCGCGCTCCTTGGTTTTGGGGCGTGACACGCACGATGTTCGAGGGATCTAGGAGTTAAATCGATTCCTTACCAACCCGATGGCGGGAAGGCGTGCGACCAAAACCGGAACAAACCGACCTCAAGGGTCTCTGCCATTCCAAGACCAAGCTCAAAGGAGTTAAGTTCGTGGTCGAGGCCTAACTTTGACATGAACACAAAGGCAAAACTTTGAAGACACAAGAAAAATCCTTTGCATTCCAAGAATATATTTACAAAGTGCATCTACAAGGTGCATTTACAAAACTCCTACGAGGAGCCCACATACAAAAGAAAAAGTAAAAAGAGCAAGGGTGGCTTTGCCTTCATCTTCACTACTCCCCGAGCTACTCGAAGAGCCCTCGTCCGAAGTAGTCGGAGCTGCCAACTCCTCTTCCAAGGCCTTCGCTTCTTCAATCTCGGTAGAGAGGTCGAAACCCTTGGCGTGCACTTCTTCAAAGGCCTGCCTCCTAGCTTCTAATTGAGCATATGTAAGGGCACGAGCTAGCTTGAGCTCGGCCTTGTTAGATATCTCCCTGGGTCGAGCATTCGCTGCAGCAGCATCTTTCCGATATGAGGATATGAGCTCATCATCTTCCGACTTGGCCGAGGATAATGCGACAGCTGACTCAGCATGAAGCACCTCGAATTTGTGAGCCTCCTCTTTGGCATCGAGAAGAAGATTCTGAGTCGAGGTCAGCTCCCCTCGAAGAGCGTCCCTCTCCAGAGCCATGCTATCCTTGTATTGTCTCAGCTCAAGACTCTCCGCATCCTTTACCGCAATCTCTTCTCGAAGCTGTCCCACTAGGGCATCCCTTCGCTCGATCTACAAGTTCCAAGTCAAGATAATGAACACCGAATTATGAAAACAAAAGATAAGCTCGTGATTATCGATCTACCTGCTCGACGAAGTTGGCCCACTCTTGAAGCATTTTCTCCGAACTCGCCCGAAGGCTGTTCAGTTCCTCTTCCCTTCGAGCGTATTGAGCCTTTAGTTCATTTGACTCCGAAGCGAGCTTCTCGAACTCAGCCTCACAAGAGTCAATTCAGCTCGTAACTTGGAGAAGGCCTGGTCATACAACATCATGACCTATAACACGAAGGGAAGGAGTTAGGCGAGCGAAGATCAAAACTCAAGGCAAAGTTTATGTCAAAAATCACCCGTTTTGAAGTTTCGCAGCTTCCTCAAGAATGACTGGAGCATCAAGATCGGTATCCTCTTCAACGCCGACAAAGAAATCTCCAAATGCATCATCCCCTTCCCGGGGTGTCCCCGCATCGGGAGTCCTCCTGTTCTGGGCATCCCGTATTTGCCCTAGGGAAAACGATGGGCCTGATTGAAGACCGCCCATGACATCAACCTTTATCGAGGCTTTCTCTCGCCCTCGAAGGGCTTCAGAGCGGGATCTTTCAAGTGCGTCGACCAAACACTCGTCGGCGCAAGTTGTATCCCGTCAGCGGTCGGTTCGAGGACTACACCCAAATTCTCCTCGAGGGGCTCCTCAATATTATGTGGGGCCGCATCGGCCACCTCTGACTCGACAGCCTTCACTCCGGCAACCTCCGAAGCATCAGCGCTTCGCCTTGCGTTGTGTACCAACGGGCAGCTATCATCATCTTTCCCTTCAGCATGAAGACCCTCAACAACTGCCGAAGTTAGGAGCGTTACGTCGGTCCTGGGTTTTTGAGCGTTAGCTCTCTTTGGTTTTGGGGACTCGGCCGGTGTCTCCTTCTTTCTCTTTTAGTCCTTGGCGGATTTTTGTATCTCCTCTTCGCCAGGAGGAGGCGACCTCATTAAAATGTCTTCCCCGAGACCTGCACAAGAGTAAAGTGTCAAAAATACCGCCAAAAAATCCAAGCATAAGGAATTTAGAAGTGACAGCGGTAAGGACGTACCATGATTTTTAGCCTCCCATCGAGCTTTGGCCAAATCGCGCCAAATGCGCTTGTCGTTTGGGGAGGTAGAGTCTAAAAGTCTAACCCAGCCGGGAGGTCCTTGACCACGTCGGGGAACCACACGGTGGCTACGCGATCAGAGGAGAACCAATTCAAGGAGAAAAAAAGAACCGAGTTAGTTTGAAAGAAGAAAATAAGACATTCGTATGATAAAGCATGCTCGGTATAGTGACACTTACGATTCATATTCCATTCCTTAGGGAATGGTATCTTCTCTGCAGGAATGAGGTCCGAGGTCCTAACTCGAACGAAGCGGCTCATCAATCCCCGGTCTTTATCTTCGTCAGTATTAGCAAAAAATGCCCTGGTAGACCGACGTCACAGCTTGATTAAGCCCCCTCGATAGAGGCGGGGGCTGTACAATCTGATCAGATGATCAAGGGTGAAAGACATCCCCTGGATCATGTTCGAGAAATGTCTAATCAAATAGACGATTCTCCAAAAAGAAGGGTAAATTTGACCAAGTGTCACTCGGTATTCTTGGCAAAAATCGAGGATCACCGGGTCTATTGATGGAGAAGAAGAATCTACAGGGCCTAAAGTAAAAGGATACGTATACACGCTGAGGAAACCAGGTTTATGTGTAGTTATGTCCTCTTCCGAAGAAGGGATCTGAGCGTGCACATCCCTTCCCCAATGGCAGTCTGTTTTCACCTTCTCTATGTTAGTTATTAAACTAGCATACCGAGATATGGGCTCGCATCGGCCCGGTGTCGAAGAGGGTTTGTCGACTTTGAAATCGGATGATGTACCGAAGGACCCAGGAACACACTCCTCAACACTAGGAGGCACTACTTTTTTGCTCTTAGACGAGCGTGATGAAGAAGAGGCTTCCCCCTTTCGGGGTACCGTCTTAGAGGTTTTAGCCATGGTAATAACGAAGTTTCAAAGCAAGGTGGTGAAAAAGTAAGCGTAGAAGAAGGGTGAACACAGGAAAACTGTTAACGAAAATTTTGAAGATCTGAAGATGTCACAAATGTTTGAAAGTGAGGGAATTGGAGTATTTATAAGTAAGTTGGAGGAGCTGAAAGGGCGACCAATAGCGATTCGTGGGCTTTTCGAGAACTGTGATGACAAGACCTATGTACAACTTTTTCTGCCACACCATTTAATGATCTCACGTGCCACACCGTTTTCTGTATTTTTGTAACAGACAAAAATACCCTTTCCAATCAGATATGCGACCGCATTCCTGTCTCAAAGAACACATGCGGTCCGCATTTTTGCTCTTTTCTTGTCTTTTTGTAACTTTTTTCTCTCATTTCCATGCTCTTGGGTCCTTAAACCTCATGTACTGCAAAAACACTAAAATTACATCATTAAAGGAGATAACTTCACCTAAGATAAGCTAAAATCTAAGCAATTAGTATTGAAATGTGCCGAAATTCTCCGGCACATCAACACCCCCAACTTAAACTCTTGCTTGTTCTCAAGCAACTAAAACAACACTAACCTATTCTAGACTCTATCTACAAAACATCAAACAATAGTGACCATGGGTGGTGTTTGTTGTTAGTATTTCAAGCATGCATCTTCGATTGCTTTACCCTTCCTGAACCATCACTACGTACAAGGAAAACTAATCAACTTGTGAACTTTGAGCCCCAGACAATGCGATAAAGTGATACCCTTAGCTGAGTGCAATTGCATTTGACTCAAAAACTCAACTTTTATTCAACCTTATAGTTCATGTGCCCTCACTAGAAAGAAAGTCCCAAAATCACAATATGTACAGTGACAACAAAACAATAAGGGACGAATTCACAGAGACACTCACTCTCAGAAAAGAGTTTCAAGTGTTACACATACCATACCATAAGCTTGCCCTTATTTTAATTCGCCGCTTACTTCTAAGAACGCTCGGTTGGAGATCCCATTAGGTCTTTCTAAGCTTGTAATGTAGGTTTAGGGAAGTGTCGGATAAGCATTTGGATACAAGTGACTTCATCCTCCTTGAACACTACTCACATTTGCCATTCTTTTTGCGCTTTGTTTCTCTTCAACCCACATAGCCTCATTGGCATCTAGTTCCCACTATAGAACCACTGTAAATACCTCTTTAATTCTATTCATGACTCCATACTTTATATACATACAGATATTTCTCTTTTTTTTTCTTTTTTTTTGGAGCTTGAACAATTCAATCCACACACTTTGAGGTATGTGATCCTACACTCAATGTACAACCTTACCAATTTCCACTTTGACACCATACCCCCAACTTAGGCTTTTTAGCCTCATTCTCAATGCTCAAGGAGGGACGGGTTCAAAAGAGGAAATTATTTCACAAAAGGGAAAGGTTTGTAATGAGGTAGCCAAAGAAAAGGTTAAAGGCTCAAATGGGGTGACTAGGGATATTAACTGCACAATGGGTGGCTTGAAAGGCTAACTGGTTTTCTAAAGGTCACAAAGACTGCCTAAGGTCATCTCTCCAACCAAGTGTAATTATTATAAGCATCGAAAAACTAACCGGGCAAGTTCTAGATGGAAGAAGCAAACACAAGAAATATTTACACAAAGAACTCATACACATGGCACACGAACTGTTTGGCTCACATAGTTTGAAGCCCTCGAGTCAACACTATGCGGACCGCAAACATGTCGCAAAATTGTTTGGACCATATGGATCTCAGTCTGCGGTGGGTTATGCGATCGCATAACACTATGCGAACCGCATACCCATCACAGAGTTGATTGACTCACAACATACACAACAAAAATGTGATCGCAAACTCCAACGCAAAGAGGGAAATGCGATCGCAAAACAGCCGCAAATGGCAAGGTTTTTAACTGGGAGGTCTGTTTCACTTTGCGGTAAATTTGCGGTCCACATATCGATTATGCGACCGCAAAAGTCACCGCATTTCATCATCGTCCTCAGGAGACCTAGGGTTTAATTTGCGGCCAAAATGCGGACCACATTTTAACTTTGCGGGCCGCAAAAGGTCTTCGTCCTCAAGATTCAACCATCACTTCAACAATGGCGGTCCTAAGTCCTTCTACCCATTACCCCAGATATATTTCCTACCCAAAAGAGACTATGCCATGGGAAAATAGTACAAAAAGCAACACCTAATCACACATTTGCATATGAGAATAAAGAAAATCAAAGAAAAGACAAGCATGAATCTTGAACTGGAAGATTTGGGGCGAGGTTACATACCAGTGATGCTGAGTGGAAGTACTACAGAGATGAGGAATGGTTTTTGTTTTTGTAGTTTGAACGATTCGATCAGTGTTTGCCCCTTTGTTGTTTGCTTCTCAGTTCTTCCCGTTCTTTCCTTTTCGTTTCTTTTTGTTTTCTTTTTTTAATTTTTTTTTTGAATGAGTAAGAGATGAGAGAATGCGACCACTTACCTATCCGATTTGCGATTTGGAGGGCACCGCATAACACACTATGCGACCGCATAAGTGTTATGCGGTGGGTGCACTTGGCTTGCAAAAGGGTGACAAATGCGGTGCACAATACGGTCGCAGAAGTGAAATGCGGTCCGCAGAGTGCACCACCCTGCCGCATTTTCACCAACAATTTTAGCCAAACTCTCTGCTTTGGTTTGCGATCAAAATGCGGTCCGCATAGTGGAAATGCGACCGCATCTTTGTAGCAGATTTCACACGGTGGTTTTTCTTCCCTTTTTTATGCATTCCTACCAAGTGTTGTGATCTTTTGAACCCCCTGAAGGAAGAAAATGCGATGCAAAATGCGGTCGCATTTCTACAATGCGGATCGCAAAACATGAATGCAGTGAAGGCCTGGAAACTAGGGTTTCAATCTGCGATGGGGATGTCCAAAATGCGGACCGCATGTGTTCTTTCGACAGGAATGCGGTCGCATATCTGACCAGAAAGGGTATTTTTGTCCGTTTTCTGTCTCGATTTTCAGTCCACTATAAATAGATTTATGAGGATTTTGTGGGCTCATCTTTTCTAGTTTTTGAGCTACATTCCAAGACTTAAATATTCTTCACTTTTGGAATCTTTTGGGTCAAGAATCTTCACTTTGTAAGCTTTATGGCATTTAATATTCTCTTGCATTTGTATTTTAGTATGAGTAGCTAACTTTAAATACTAAGGTTGTGGACCCTAAATGGGTGTAATGTTAATGGGTGTTTACCATTGAATATATATATATAATGGTTGGTTGATGTTTATTTACTCCTCATTCTTCATTTATTGTTGGTGGTTGCAAACATTAACAAGTGCCATTAAATTCTTGCTTTGCTTGGGAGAGTGGATTAGAATTTGTTAGGAGTGAATATCAAAGAATCAAGGCGTTAACCCTTGTTTAATAGAATCGCTTAGGAATAACTGGGTTTTATTTGGCATATATTGATTGTTCTTAATTGCAACTCTTTTATATTTGAAAAAGTCATAAAAGAGAAAATACTACCCAACT